CGGCACCATCGTTACTGTTGGCTTTGCGATTTTTCCGGGCCGGGGGCCTTGGAGGACTTCCGGTCGCTCTCTACTTCTGGTGATCGAGTCTACCCAAATTAGCGTCCCTCGCTAATTTCTGCGCTTTCACCCCAAAAATCTTCATGTTATTCCCCCCACACACACACCGGGAGAGACGGGAGACCGCAAGTCCAGCCGTGCCGCCGGAATCGGCCCTTAACTTAAGCAGGGAGCGCTGCACCGGCACGAGAGCCACTGCGCATGCGTTGCCGTTCCCTCTTCTGGCCGCCCTTAGTTACCACGTGATCGCCGGCGTCTTGCCAACGACTGCGCATGCGCCGGCGCCGCCACGTTGGCTTCCCACCCATCCCCCCGCCCGACCGCCCGGCTTCGCTTTCTTACTGCGCGCGCCTCGCCCGCTTTTCTGAGGCTCTTCCCTGCCATTTCGCGGCACCCCCTCCGCTGCTTTTTCGGCTCCCTGGGGTTCCCCCACCCACGTTTTCGGGTCCCCTTCTCACATTTTAGCGGTGACCCCCAAGTTACGGGTCAGAGGGCGGGGCGGGGGGGGAGTAAACGGGGTGCCCAAGAAGGGTTCTTTTTCTCTTTCATTTCACTTTTCGTTTTATTTCCTTTTTAGTTTGCTCGCTTTTATTTTTTTCTTTAATTTTCTTTTGTATTTTACATTTCCTTCTTTATTTCGTTTATTTTTTATTCTTTTTATTTTTCATTTTCTTTTATTTCTTTTTTGTTTTTATTTTTTATTTTTTATTATTCCAGAGTGGGAAACAATGCAGCTCCTCTGGGCCAGAGAAAGGCTCCCCTGCTCTTCCCTTAAACACAACGCCTGCAATGAGTGCCCTGGAAGCCCGCTCCGCTCATGCCAGCCACTGGGGCTCACCCAGAGGGGCTTTGCCAGCACCCAATGGAAATTAAAATTACAGCCCGGGCAAAGGCGCTTCCCGCAGGACCGCTCCTGGCCAAGGCCCCCGGGCCGTGCGAGTCAGCCCACTGAGCACCCGGGGGGATTTTTGGGGGCACGCTTCCAGCTTTTGTTCTCCAGAAACTCCAGTTCTTTCTGGCATCGCCTGCTTCAGTCTGCCCCTGTTGGAAGAGCTCACTTAGTCTTTTTAGGGGCCAGATTGCCAAAGCCCAGGAAATACATTCCCTCCACACCCTCTCCCGCTCACTGCCAAGTGGCAGAGGCCTGCCCTGCCCTGCCCTGCACAGGCCCCGGGGCTGGCCCTCAGGCCGTCTGTCCCAAGGCTGGAGTGATCCTGCCATCAGCCCGTGGTCACGAGGGGCACAGAAAGCCCAGGGCCAACAGCCACTCCAGGCAGCTGCAGGCAGAGGTTATCCCTTCCCAGCTTTTTGGCAGTGGGGGGGAAGGGGCCTTTCCCCGGCCGGCAGCGGCATCGTCCCTGCCGCAGAGCCCGCCCCGACCCTGGGCCGCCTTGGAGACAATTCCCCTGTCACAGCCCACTTCCTGCAGAAAAATAGCAAAGATTGGACCTTAGGAGAGAATTCTTCCCTGGGAGGTGGGGAGGCCCTGGCACAGCTTGCCCAGAGGAGCTGTGGCTGCCCCATCCCTGGAAGTGGCCAAGGCCAGGCTGGACAGCACTTGGAGCCACCTGGCACAGTGGCAGGTGTCCCTGCCTGGGGCAGGTGTCCCTGAACGAGATGATCCTTAAGGGCCCCTACAACCCAAACCACTCCAGCATTCCATGAGGATTCTGTGAGCTCTCTCTGCCATTCGTTTGGCATCGTTTCCAATTTCAATTCTCAAATTCACACGCTTTGTTAAAGGAATCATTTTAAAATTATTCCAGTAAGAAAAAGGGGAGTGTAAAACATACAAGGATCATTCCCTAAGATCCTGCTCTATGGTGAACTTGCCACTGGCTGCCGCATGAGAGGAGCCCCGAAGAAAAGATACAAGGACTCCCTGAAACAACATCTCAGCCTTGGCCATATTGATCAACACAACTGGTCTACTCTGGCCTCCAATCGGGAGGCCTGGAGACACACCATCTATAACGCAGCTGTCTCCTTTGAGAACACACGCAGGATCACTCTTGAGGAAAAAAGGCAACGCAGAAAGAACCGTGTATTGCAGAATACACCATCTAAGGAGTCTTTCTGCTGTGCCTTTTGCAATCGGATATGTCTGTCACGTATTGGCCTCATAAGCCACCAGCGTGCCTGTAGCAAATGTGGATAGAGCCTTCCCAAATCTTCGTTCGCGAAGCCTCGCCATGAAATTCCTATGTCCAGCAAATCATTAGAATTGGAAGCCTATGACTTCACCTCTGGCCTTGTTATTGTTTCCTGGAAAATCCTATGATCCCACAGTTTTGAAGAGAGATCCACTGGAATGACCAGGTTTGCTCTGACAGAAAGCCAGGGATTTAGATCACTTGTTCCTCTGCATCTTTACTGTTTTTCAGAGCATTGCTCTGGATACAGCCCTATAATTTTCTTGAACTTCTTTTTAGTAGTCTGCTTCATCCCTAACCACTGCTCCAGAGTGCTGTGGGTGGCAAAATATATGCAGCCTTTGTTTAATTCCCTTCTTACTGCTGAAGGCTTGAATTCCTTCACTTACCAAATCTCCTCCTTTTTATCTCATTCTCTATCTTACGCTAGCCAGTGATCCATACCCACAGTGAATTTCCTTAGACGGATATTTTTTTACACTGCTGTGTTTCTTTCACTGGGGAGTATTCAACCATCCCCAAAAAATGCATGTGATGATAAGCAGATATAATCTCTTTAATGTAGAGCAGTTTATATGATCTATTTGCATTATTTACCAAGGTTGCCAGGCTCTCTGATGCAAGAAATGGGAGTTTGGTTTTATTAGTTTGCTTACAGAATTCAGCTCGGTGGAGAAAATGAGATAGCATGACACATCTCATGAGAGCCCAGAGCTCTGCCCCCACACCCGGACACCTTTCAGTAAAAACAGCCCACGGCACTGAGCACACACCAGGCAATGCACCCGCACGGCCCACGCCCGCCCCTCGCTCGGGAGAAGTGCTCTCCTCTCAGCCTCCTTCTCCCCCGCTTCTGATCTCCAGCTAGGAAGAATGTCTAGCAATCAGAGAGCAAGATACTAAAAGAAAACAGATCTGAGAGCCCTGAGCAAAACAGGAAAGGGAAGACGTTTAGTCCAAGCCTTTGCATTTATATTTTTTCCTATTGCAAAGCAAGGTTGTTTTTGTTTTGATTTTTTTTCCTTCTCTTTCTTCATCCTGACTGTCAGCAGATGTACACTGTAGAGGAAGCTGATCTGCAAGGGCTGCGTTTTCAGCGGATATGACTGCAGCAATCACGACCTCCTGAAGCGCATTGGCAAGAGTTCCATTGACTGTAAGATGGATCACTTCCTGATGGACAGTTTCAAAGTTAGGTAAAGCAGGAAATTGAGGGAGGGAAGCCCATGTCACATTGAGGTCTGTTTGCAACAGGTTCTGGACTGAGAGAGAAACTGGGTGTGGGTGGAGATGGCCATGGCCATGATAAGGCTCTAGTGATGAAGTCATAACCAGCTTCTTCAGCTAATGAAGAATGTAAGTGGGCAAGTCAAACACATGCAAAAATTAGATCTGCTGAAATGCATTTTTGCTCAAGTATTTCAGGTTCTTGGGAGATCCTTGGAGTGCTGTACTTACATAGAAGGGAGAACAAGCAGAAAGGACAGTCTGGGCACTGTCAAGGGTGCCAGCTAACCTCATCTAGCGAGCACTGATTAGGAGGCTCCAGGAGTTGGAGGGGATTTGAAGTTGGTTGGATCATACTGTAGGTTGAGATTTGTAACCACACGTTATAGATTCAGCCACACATTGGGGAACCATCATCCTGAAGCCTACACTAGCTGAAACCAAACCCTTTATTTTCTTTGGAGTAAATGGAGAACAGAAGTTCTTTACCACACCAAGGTATTTTCCTTGCTGATATAAGGGATCTATAAGGAAAACTGCTTCCAAGGCTGATCTGAGCTCAAGACCATAACTCAGAGGAGATGTAACCATAACTCAGAGGAGACGTGCTATTAAGTTAGCCTTGATTCACCATGGAAAGCTTTTCCTTCTCTAAGCCTCTCTGACAGGCAAATACTGCTTAGCTTCTCCATATCTCAGGTTACAGTAAAAATATAGTTGGGATTTTGTCAACCTTTTACTGAGTGCATTACAGATAGGGCATTCCAGCATTCCCCAAGAGTGGGATGTACTGGAGCAGGTTGTTGAATCTAGTAACTACAGCCTTATTTGCTATTTCTCATCATTCAGGCGGACGAAAGGTGCTAAGCGAGGCATGGCCAAGAGGTGAGGAACATGTCTTAGAACCACTGCTTTGAATATAGACAGGCTTTGGGAGTGGTTAATGCTGTCCACGGTCTGTGCATTTGCTTGTACAGCTTTGATTATCAATACCCTCTATCCAAAGCATACACCTTTAAGGACAATATTCTTAACAGGAAATGGAAGCTCTTGCTTCTAGTGTTTCATTACCAAAGAACCTAAGTTTTCATTTACCTGCTTTCCAACATCTCATGTATTATTCTCATTAGTACTCATGTGTTGTCCTCAACATCTTGTTTTCTTCTCCATAAGCACTGCTCAAACAGCACACTAAAACCATGCACCACTATCTGTAGCTGTCTTACCGAAGTCCTAGCCATTGTTTAGTTGTCCTACAATAATATACTATGAGTTTCTTTTAATAATTTAATTAACAAAGATCCCATAGGGCATTACAGGAATAGATAAACACCATTCTACCCATTTTACAAGGAGAAGGGATCACTTAGGGTTGCCATGATTAGTCACTGACATAGCTTGAATACCATCCATGTTGTGTTCTCATCACTGAACTTTGGCTCCATCATCACAGGCTCCTGAGAACTCCTGGCAGGATGTTGCCTTGTCTGGGAAGAGGAACAGATTGCAGCTCCTGCCTAGAAGCTGAGGCAACAAAGGCCTGGCTTTGTTTTAAATTTTGTAATTGTCTACTTCAGAAAGTATAGCAGTTTCTCAGAAAAGTGACATAACTATAGACACTGAGAGCAATTCAATTTCAAAGCAAATATGAGCTTTCAGTGGGAAAAAGATAACTCAAGATCATCAAGAAAATTTTTTGGGTTTTATTTGTTTTGTTGTTTTGAGTTTGGGGATATTTTTTCCTTATGGTTTCTACTCAGCAAAAGTCTTCCTTTTTTTCTTATAGTGTCATATGGTCTCACCTCTTGGAGTGCAGAGACAGGTGCTTGCTTGCTTATTTGTAGAAGCTTGTATGTAGACACAAGACTCAAAACTTATAAGGAATAGCTGCCTAGTGACATTGGCTCTGAATTATTAGTAACTGCAGTACAGGGTGACAGGAGCTCATATGAGAGAGGAGATCAGCACCACACTATGGGGTCCAAGCCACATCTAAACAGACTAGGAAATAGTGATGAGATGCTTAAGGGCTGATGGCAAAACTTGGAAGAAGAACCTGGGGCCTTGTACATCAAACTGGTGGCCCTGTGCTCCTGTGCTGTGTTTGGAGCTCACTTTGCAGGCTTGGTGTTTTAAGACCAGTAAGAAGGGCTGCCACTTCACGGTCCTCAGGGACCAGTGCTGAAAAAGATGCCTCTGAGAAATAACTTGGCTGAGCAGCAAAGCACGTGGCATGAATGCTTGCAAGGCAGGCCTGTGTATCCCTCAATTCTGCCAGTATCTCCTTTTCAATTTTCATGTCGATGAATTTTGGTGCTTTGATACTTTCCAAATCTGAAACGAGGTGACTAGCAAATATTAATTACATCATTTGATTGCTGTATTTTTTTTTCTTTTTTATTGTGTGGCAAGTCCTAAAGAATACAAGCTGTAGAGAAGAATGAAAGAGAAAATAAACAAGCAAAGATTCATCTGGAGTGTTTTGCCTTCGCCAGTTGGCAGTGCTGCCCTTGGGCATCCTTGAAGGAGAGCATAAAGCTATGAAATGTGCAGGGTCTGAGTGAGCCTGGACCATAGAACAGGCTTTCAAAAAAACTGAAAGAAGCAAAGTGAGGATAGCAGCCTGTATGGATAATTCAGTACCAGAGAGCATAACAGCAGATTTAATTCTGTATGAGTGATTGGTCTCAGGACTGTAAAAAGAGACAAGGTGAAGCTAGAAATG